TACCTTAAAAACATTCATAAAAATCTCTCAACTTTGAAGAAGGCCAAGCATCATCCCTTCATTGACGTACGTTGTAACACCACCCATCCGTCTATTCAAACCCTCTAAATTTTAATGGTAAAACTATATTATCAGTCTCTTAACTTTTAATTCCTATGCACTTTGATCTCCAAACTTCATATTTAGTAAATTTGGTCCTTAATTTTAACTTCTCTTATATGGATCTTGTTTGATAGAGATATTAATAATAAAAGAATTGAATTACATAAATATATTGATCATAGGAATGTTTGCTGAAATCATTGACTTATTTATCACTTTGGGTGAGTGACTATGATATATTGTTAAATATCGCTTTTGGTTAATGAGACATATTCATTAATTATATGATAGAAATCTAGAAAATCACACATTTAGTTCTCTTTATGGGATTAGATCCCTATAATCTAAGTTTATGGAAAAAGGATTAATTTATGTAAAAATAGTATTTTCACTATAAAAATAAATTAATTAAGTTCCAAAATTAAAGTGGAAAAATGGATTAAATTTATTTAATCTAGATTGGTTTAAAATTAGATAGATTAAAGTGTTAGAACAACAAAAATCCAAGATGGGCTAATGTAGCTAAAACCCTAATCCATGTGGACAAGGACTTGTATGAGAAGGATGCAATTGTATAACTCCTAGTCGAATGGGGACTAAGAGTGACAACATCCTTGGAGGGAAAGGAAAAAGGATATTCCTATTCTAACTTTTACTTTAACTTTAACTTGAAAACAAAAGTTGAATTAATGTAACTATAATCGGATTAGAATTATATAATTGTCTTCCTATTTCCTATTAGTATATATATAAGACTAAAAACCCATTTATTGGGTTTACATTTGGAAAGGGGTGAGATTGTGAGAAAACTCACTCTGTTGGAAAAGAATTTAGTGGCTCCTAGCCTTTAAGTCACCTTTGTTATTCTTGGTGAAAAATGTGGAGGAAATTCTTGATGGATGAAGTCAAGGTAAAGGATTGAGTGTTAAGTGGCTGAGCTAAACTTCTACAATCACTTGTGCAAGTTCCTTTCTCTTTCTCTCTTGATTTTTCCTTTGTTAATTGTAAAGAGACAAGAATTTTCAACTCTAGTTCACCTCTCTTGGAGTATTTGACTCAACACCAAGCCAAAGCATAACTAGCTATTTCAGGTAACTGGCTAGCTTTTTCCTAGATCCATCTCTTGTCCTGACCATTCAAGAGCCATTTTTGTTGAGGTTATGCCCCAAACTGGCAGTTTGGAGTTTGGACTCACTTGATCACCAAGATCTCCTGTATTTTTTTATTTGTTTTGGTTATATGTTATACGTACATGATGAACTCTGCTTTCTATTACAGGCCACAAGCTTGTTTACTTGTTGACTACAATTCTAGTTAAGGTGTAAAGACTGTTGAAATAATATGATATCAGTTATTTGTTAAAAAAAATAAATAAAAATAAAAATAAAAACTGAAAATGAGCTACCTAAACCGTTAAGGTTGCATTTGAGATTATTTTCCCATAATGTTTTTTTCACACAACATCTTATTAAAGTGTTAATTTATTATAATTAAATTAATTTAATTGATATTTTATATAATTTTCTACTCATATTAGTGTATAATTCTTTTTAAAGCAATTATCAAATCATAACATAATTTTTCAAAATCCATAGTCAAAACACTTCACAACACTCCCAAATACAACCTAAATTGGCTATTGAAAAGGAGAGAAAGAAGACGGTAAGAGAGATCAAAGATACCTTCGGTAGAGTGAGATTCCTGACCGTTTGATGATTTCCCCTCTAATTTCAGCATCAAACGCAGCAAGAATCACTTAATGCTGCCTCCAAATCAAGGGTGTCTTACATAAATAGAAAGTGGTAGACATACTCACTTTTACCATATCAAAATGTCTAATTTCTCCGCACTTCTACCATTTTGCTAAACTCTACATTACAATCATTATTAGTGTGTGATCTATATCAGATCATATAAATCAAATCTTGATTAGAACCTTCACACAATCTGGTTGCTTCATAAGCTGAAATGCTTTGTTTATATCTCCAAGTTGCACTTCATGGGTCAAAATTCCATCAAGCTGGATTTCCTGTGGAGAAGCAAAACATTCTTATAAATTCCCAACAACCAAGTAAAAGTACTTTTGTGAAATAATATATTGAACAATCATTGATTTTCCTACACTAATCTATTCTTCACTGTATTGGAAGTGACTATCTTGTAAATGTTAAGAGTTACATAAATAAAAATTTTATTTCACTGATAAAGCTTACCTTATTTTTGCATTTTTCAAGCAATAATGGAAGGTCAGATTTGGCTTTGATACCTCCAAACAAAGACCCCTTCAAAGTTCTGCCAAAAACAAGTGGGAGAAAACTTACATGTAGGCTTAGATTATCTCCTGTACCAATTAGTATGGTTTTTCCAATCCCCTGAGTAGAAAGTAGATAAAAAATCGTATCACCAAATTCCAAAACATCCATTTAGGAAAAGAGAGTTGAAATGGGACACAAGAAATACCATTTTTGTGGCTTGCATAGCTTCATTGGCCAATGGTGCAGCGCCAGTGCACTCAAAGCTGTAGTTGACACCAATTCCACCAGTTAGTTCTTTAACCAATTCAGAAACTGGTTCATTGGATTCCTCAGGGTTTATGAAATCAGTCATTCCAAAA